AAACTTACGAGATATGATCATCAAAATAAACAATAGTGGAAATGTCGTWGACATAAAGTTCAAATAAACGGGGACATTTCATACATGTTTGAACTGATCATGACARATAAGTCAAAATGCAATAGTTGACTTCAGTTGTAAGTTTAATATGTTTTGTTTATATTAACGATTATCTCAATGTATTTAATTGCTGTTTATGTTGTGCTTGTTTATCAGATCAAAAATTGACTATTAACTAATAAAACAATGATTTAATACTTCTTTCTATTCATATAGTCCTTACTAGTCCTTGGGGCAGTGGAAGGAAGCACCCCTATATTTACTATACGAGTATAAGACCCTCGAAAGCGTCCCTTAATTGTCTGTGGTAGATAATTCAACATTTTTCGTCTCTTTGTCTKGAATAGTGTATAAATAGCTTATAGTAGAGTTTTATCTGATCGCTTTTTATTTGCTAGTCCTAGCCTGATTTTTTCAGTACGGAGGGAGRCGAACTGGATGTACACAGCCTATGTAGTCTACGTCGACGGCGCYAAGATAACRACTGTAGTCATGTTTCTAAACGAATTSGAGATGTGATATGATGGAATTGAACTGATCTGCGATGGGATATGTAATTGATGTAGGGTATATAACATCAGCAAATTTTTTGAATACGAAAAAGCCAACTAGGCGTGCWGTGAGTATATCACTTAGAGCCTACATAATCGTATCCCGACGTCATGATCGATTCAATTGTCTAGTTTACTTCAATCTCTCAAGATATATTTGTATTTCTATTTACAACTTAGGGAAAGACACRCATTAGGCTGTGTCTCTCGAGATGAAATATTTTCTTATATATTTAAATCTCTCAAGATGTTTTTGTATTTCTATTTAAAAACCTGGTACCTCATCAATGTGTATATAATAAGTAGTCTTATTTGTAAAGTGCTTACATTTTGACCATAAAATATAATTAGTCTAACACCACTTAAATGTTAAATGTTAAGGAAGCAGCACAAATATTGATGTTAACAAATATTGAYGTTAAATATTGATTCCTGGTAACACTGTACWGTAGATGGCGAAACTCCACAAAATGACTGTGTGATTGCAGGATTTTCAATACTATGGAATATGAAATTAAAAGAAAACTTATTTCTTTTTGACCTTTTAAGGCATTAATATTCCATTACATAATCAATAGARGTCTTAATGTTTTGATAAAATATTTTTTGATACAGAAGGTKTCAAAATATCAGGAATGAAAAAAACAATTTCGTTTAATATACACGCTCACATGATATGGAGATAATAAGATAAGCTTATAAGTTTACTTAATAAAGGACTAATATATAAGCCAGTGTGTAAATAATTATTTTTAGTAAGTAATTATAAATTGCAAAAGGTTCTATAGAGTGCACGCCACATAASCATGAAACAATTAATTAGCTCCTAATAAGATTTAGTTAGATTGATTTTCATCAGACTGTGAAATAGTTCCTATGCTAAAAGACGGAAGTAAACTCTACACCCATTGCTTTATTTTATTGGAATACAACTATTAGACACTATTAAACACTGACTAGTAGTAATGACTCTATCAACTAACTAAGAATTCAGTGACATATAAACAAACACAAGTTTTGTGGCATTGTTTTCATGCTCCAGTGAATTCTTAGTTAGTTGATAACTAAATCTTATTGGGCGCTAATTAGTTAAGAATTGTTTCATGCTTATAGTCTATGAGTGATTTTCAGTAAAAAGTAGCTAACCTTGAAGTAATTTCATTTCCACAGTCCATAGAAGCGAATTTTATGTACGTAGTCTGTCGATTTGACAGTAGTCTGTCCATTTTGATATTTTCATACCCAAAACGTCAATGCGCTTTATAAGCTTGGATTATTATTATTATTATTATTATTATTATTATTATTATTATTAATGCTACTAACACGTGATTAAATGGAGTCCTATCATTGGCCGACTACCAAGACTACCACCAAAATCGAATAACCAATCAGAGACGACATTCTAGAAGCTGCGAGATATCCGCTTTGAACGATAATTTATCGGAAGTTCGACAATGAAGGTAAAAAACAAAGAATTATACCTCAAGTATAATTCAAGTGTTTTTTTGTATCGTGTTATTATCTCTAATTATGTTAATTATGTTAATATTTGGCTGCGTGTACTGGGCCGAGGTAACAACGTGAGTTCTATCCCCTATTTAGTTGCAAGTCACATTGTACTCGGCCTCCTTAATGTTTACGGCGACCGAGCAAGTCTCTATGTACCTGATCTTTCAGACTTTTCAGGCAAGTTCTCCTTTGTTTCTCTTCCTTTACCTTATTATATATTATGGACACCCCTAAGGTTCTGATTTTAGGACATTCTTTTGTTCATCACTTGCATTCCTTTATTAAGAGGAACGAACAGAATTACGATCTGAACCTCGGTATTACCGAGCCCGTTAGATTGGGGTGGCGTGGAATCGGCGGTTGTACAGTTATTAAATTGARAMAACCTGAAAACTTAGCGTTCCGATCGACATTTCAGGCCGATATCGTATTCTTACAGATASGAACTAATGATCTAACCCGACGCMACGCTTCCCCAGCTAATGTGGGTTCCGCTATTGAGGACTTTGTACGCCATGAT